AGTGGGAAAATCTTTGCTGGTGGAAATGTCAAAAGAAATCAGAATCAATCTGTCGCAGTAGAATTTTGAGACTGTCTAAATTCAGCATGAATTAGATTTGCACATTTATACATATCTGTGCTTACAGTCATGGTTTTTCCAACCTGGTTTATTCACCTCTTTCTGTCTTCAGTTAAGGTGTCTCCTCTTCTGTTTAAGCTTGGCCTAGCTTCCCTGGCTATCTGAAGATTCTATTTATAAGAGAATCTGTCTGTTTAACAGCAGTACTGTGGAGTACAAGCACCAGTGTGCGGGTCACACAACTCCCTCTGAGAACCCTCAGATGAGCTGACCTACCCTCACCTCTGTGAGAGGGTCCCCTGGTTTACTATGTTCAAAGTCTAGAGATGCTTAGATAAGGGAGAGATTGGAGTCTGAGTGAACGAAAATCACTTCCCATGAATTAAGGGCTCATAAGTTCATCTAGAACAAGGCATCTGCCCAGCAGAGACGCCCCTTCCCACCCAATAATGCATGGTGCCTGCTGAAGACAATGATGACTAACATGCAGTTAGTACTTACCACCCAGCACAGCTTGTCCAATGTGATGGCGCTACCAGATCTGTCAGCTGCAACTGTAATTCCAACTACTTGATAAATATTTCTAAACTGGTTGCTGAACGGCTGCTGACAGAAGTCCTTTGAATGTTCCCAAACCTCTGAACTTCTCTAGCTGTCCTACTGTTTTTGGGGGGCCCTTAGACTTCTCCATAACCCATCAACTAAAGAGTTAACACCTAGACCTACAGGGACCCTCAAGAACACTGCCCTGGCTTCCCAGCACCCAAACAATGATTCCAGGGCATTCTGACCGACAGCATTCATTAAGGATGCGTTAAGCACCTGTGCTCTGGAGCCAAATCCTAGATGTGAGATTTGGGGCTAGTCTTTCTTTGACTCAGTTTCACTCATCTCTAAAATGGAGATGATAATGGATAAACAGGTTGTTTTGAGACTAGATGCAGAGCATTTAGAAGAGATCTGATACGTAGTAGGTAAAATAAAAGCATCTGTTATTTTTAGTATCTGTACTAACAGTCAAATATTTTGATCATCGCGTCTCAGAACCTTATTAGATACCATTCCTGGGGAAAAGGTGGGTGGTCACTGCTACCACCAGTTGCGCCCAGGGGCCTTCTAGCCCTGCTGCTTATTCTGAACAGCATTCCAGTCTTTTTGAGATCTGGCTATATGGGAGTTGAGACATTTTCTTTTCTTCTTTATTACCTACTTTATATTTTAGATTGATTGTCAACATTTAAAAATCATAACATTTCAAATAAAAATCCAGATTTCTGGCATTCCTTGGAAGTGTGGAAAACTGGCATCATGGGGGCCACATTTTGTTATGGCAGTGATTGGCTAGAGTCACATGCTGGCCCCTTCCTGGGAAGGGTGTCAGCTCTGGTGTTCACCAACCAGCCCACTGTGTCTCTTTGTTACCTGCTTAGTATTTGAGTTTGCTGTCCCTGAACTAGGGTAACCTAACTATATCTCTTTCTTTACAACATGGAAGCCTTCAACTTCCATAGCAATATTTTATTGCCTGTACTGGATTGTAAGATTCTTTTGTTTATGTCTTTGACTTTGCCCTACCCAGAGTCCTCATTGTTTGGACTGATGCGGTTTAAGCTGATGGTGACTTAAGATGGTTTTAACCCTTACTCAGGAAAGAGTTATTTTTGAAACCCTATATAGTTGTAAAATAATATGTAATTGAGGAAGTTGAGTGAACAAGTTTTTATGAGTCACACAGATTATATTATAAAATTGAAGTGGCATTTCATCTAGTTCAACTGTCTGCTGTGATGATGTGGGAAGCTCCCCAAATAATTCCTATGCTTTCTTGAACAAATCATTTAACCCCAGTGAACCTGTTTCTGGCCTGGCAAAATGTAGGTAATAATAAATGTTCCCTGGATATTGTGAGTATTAACTGAGATATTAAACATTGCTTGGTTTTAAAAATACTTTTCAAATGTTAATATACTGGTGGGGTAGGACTTGCATTTGTAGCAGTGCTTACAGATAAAAATATCAAGACCCAAGTGACTTGCTACTTAGTGGAAAAGTCGGAATTAGACCTCAAATCACATGAATCTTGGCTAGAAGATTTCTTTTTTTAATGAAACATCATTCACGTTGTAACTAAACATACTTGAGAGATTAAGGAGCATAAAAATACTCTACTGGACGTGGGATAAACTGGGGGTCCACTGAATTTGTTTTGGCTATTAGAGCTCTATCTACACTCTGATCACCTTAGTATATAAAGAAAAGCAAAAGACTAAACTAAATATATTCTTCACTTGAGAAAAAAATTTGAGCATCTATTTTGGAGTCAGAGGCACATGCTATGACTTAGTTCTAGGGTTTTTATTGGTGAAATTCTCAGGTTAGGAATTAGGTAAATTGCTTTTGTTTATCTTAATAAGCTTTCCCTTTGGTCTGGTTTACACGGAAGCAGGTGGATTTTACTAAAATAAACTTTCTCTGGGCTTGAGTCTCTGGCGTTCAGGAATCAGAAGGCCTGCCTGGACTCTCTTCTTTCCATTCACTTCTGTGGCCTTGGGCAAATTACTCTGGGTCTCACTTTTCTTATTTGCAGAATGAAGAGTCTAATACCTTGAGGGTTATGCTAAGGCAATGTCCCTGACAACAGTATTCAGTTTTAACATTGTCATTTAGTTGCAGTGAGAATTTGAACCCAGAAGAAATCTTGAATTTGTCTCATTTTATCTGTCTTCAATCTGTAATGACTTGAACTAATACAAAAATCACTCTGCTCAGTCTCCTTTGATATTTATGTAACTGGCCAAGTATTTCATCTTCTAAACAAGACTTCTTAAATATTACCAGAGACATGAATATATTAAAAACATTTACCAAAATTATAATTACACAATATACATTTCTGGCAGTGCAGTTTTAGAAATGGTGAATATATACAAGGCTAGTATATCACTGTCAGAATCCTATCCAAAGTGCATTGGGAAAATTTACACAGATATTTGAATTAAATTATAAACAACTAGAAAAAATAAATGATTATATTTTGCAATAAATAGCATATGATCCAAATATAAGATTATCTGTAAGAGACCACAATTTTCTAAGAAGTGAAACTTTAAAATCACACAAAGTCTTTATCCCATAAAACATATCTTTTTAAAATCATGGTAGCAACAGTAACAATGTATTATAATTACATATAAACATAAGAAAGTTAAATTCATTTTTACTCTTTTAGCCCTCAGAAATTGAATTAAGTTGACAAATGGGTAAAGCTGTTTGCCAGCAACCACTCTGGACATGTATTTATAACTTGCCTCCAGATTGGAAACTTTCAGAAATTGCTTTTCAGAAGGAAAATAGCTCAAAAAAAATTTTAGAATATAGGTTTTTACCCTGATCTTCTCCTTTCAAATCACTATTAGGAGTTTGCAAAAAAAAAAAAAATTAAAAATACCCATATTAGCCTAACTCCCTCCAGGTCCATCCAAATTGTTACAAATGGCAAAACTTTATTCTGTTTCATGGTTGAATAATATTCCATTGTATAAATACATATGCTGTTTTATCCTTAGTGAAATAAATTGAGACATAAAAAAGCAAACACTATATGTTTTCACTTATATATGGAATCTAAAAAATAAAACAAATGAACAAATGTAACAAAACAAACAGACTCACAGATAAAGAGAACAAACTACCAAAGGGGAGAGATGTTAGGGTGTGGTGGGTGAAATAGGAGTAGAAGATAAAGAGGTACAAACTACTAAACATGAAGTAAGTAAGATACAAGGATGTAATGTACAGCACAAGGAACATAGTCAATATTTTATAATAACTTTGTATGAAGTGTAATGTATAAAATTATTGAATTGCTGTGTTGTATACCAAAAATGAATATAATTTTGTAAGTCAATTATACCTCATTAAAAAAATCAGAAAATTTGATTTGTTAGAAGTAATGACACCTAAATACAACTTAAAGCAACAGAATCTGTAGTCAATACATTAAAAGGTGTATAAAGTATCAAGCCATTTGTATAAAATTAATTGATCCTGATAAACATTAATTTGGTGAATTAAAACTAAAAGTGGATAAACAGGAAAAAATTAGTGTCAGCTTTTTATTTTTTGAAAAGCTATTATTTTTTTCAGTTGTGTCCCAGGACTGCAGTGCTGATTCTGTCCACTGCTGGAATAGAGACAGACATCAGAGCTCTCCACCCTCAGCCCAGGCCTCACTGTCCAGCTCCACGTGGGGAGTAGCCCTTGACAAGTCTGTCAAGAGATCCTGTCAAAGATTATAACTAGAGTGATGAAGTTAGGTTATTTTGTTTTAAAATGTTTTTCTTTCTTTAGGTTTTCCCAAGCTATAAAATAGCTTGAGCATAACATTGTTTTATATATATTTAAAAAAACTGTCACAGAATAGCATTTTAGGAATGCAAATTCTTTTTTGAAGTAAATATTTATTCAGTTAGGATAAGGTTAAAGAAAAAGAGAGAAGAGAATCTAATTCCTCAGATACTGCCTCTGGTCAAAAACATTAGATATTTTAAAGTTGCTTTCTAAAAAAGAAATTTTAAAAAGGACTCTTTAAGATAAAATGGGTTTGGTGAAATTATTTAAGAATAAACAATATAAAATTCTTACTCTCAGAGTAACAAAAAATAAAGCTAGAAATCTTGACTACTTGGGCAAGATCTTAATTTATTTTGTGATATTTTCTGTACCATATATAAAAGGAAATACAGGAAATCCATCCTGTCAGTAAAATGTTGAGCTTCTTAATTTTGAATTATTCAAGTGGATTTGGGAATGACAAAATTTACCTTGTTTTAAAAGTCTCCTATGTCATTTTAAAATTTAGCTATCCAATCATCATTCTTTCTTGACATCCAAATTTAGTTGTATGCATGCTCTGTTATTTGACATTTATTTATTAATTATTACAGGACACAAGAGATGAAAGTAGTGAGACTAAAGCCAGCAAGATGAGTAAATTAAAAAGGACAAGAAAGAAAGTCACAAAACTACATGCTTTTTCAACTGAAATAGGAGAAATGGACACATCTGACTCAAAAGGTATCTTGATTCCTCAAGAATGTGTGGTCAATGACAGTCTCTATTTGGTTTTCCTTTTCATAAAATATTTTTCTATTCTTCTATGAGAGAAACAAAAATGAAATAAAATATACCGCTACATGGGTAACATAAATGATGGTAAACATAGGGTTAGGATATAAATATATAAAAATAATCAAAATATTTAAAATTTATAAGGGGGAATAGGATACTAGAGTAATAGTAGTGGGGAAACAAGATTTCACAGTAGAAAGAGTATGTGAGTAAGAAGAGAAGCATATTTCTGCTCTGAGAATGAGTACAAAAGTCATTACTGACGGAGGCCACAATAAAGGTGTGGATCGAACTTACATAGATTCATTTGTATTATTTTTCAAATTCCATGTATAAGTGATATCATATGATATTTGTCTTTCTTTGTCTGACCTGCTTCACTCAGTATGATAATTTCTAGGTCTATCCTTGTTGCTGCAACAGCAATGTTTCATTTTTTATGGCTGAATTATATTCTATTGTACATATATGCCACAGCTTCTTAAAGCAATCATCTACTGATGGACATTTGGGTGGTTTCCATTACTTGGCTCTTGTAAATAGTGCTTCTGTGAACACTGGGGTGCATGTATCTTTTCAAATTAGAGTTTTTGTTTTTCCTGGATTTATGCCCAGGAGTGGGATTGCTGAGTTATATGGTAAGTCTATTTTTAGTTTCTTAAGGAACATCCATACTGTTTTCCATAGTGGCTGCACCGATTTACATTCCCACCAACAGTGAGGAGGGTTCACTTTTTCCCACATCTTCACCAGCATTTATTATTTATAGACTTTTGATGATAGCCATTCTGACCGGTGTGAGGTTGAATACTTCCTTGTGGTTTTGATTTGCATTTCCCTAATACCTAGTGATGTTGAGCATCTATTCATGTACCTGTTGGCCATATGTATGTCTTCTCTGGAGAAAGTCTACTTCATTTTGTTAAAATGGCCATACTGCCCAAAGCAATCTACAGATTTAATGCAATCTCTATCAAATTACTCATGAAGTTTTCCACAGATCTAGAACAAATAATGCTAAAATTTATAAGGAAATACAAAACACCCAGAATTGCCAAAGCAATCCTGAGGGGAAAAAGAACAAAGCAGGAGGCATAACTCGTCTAGATTTCAGACTATATTACAAAGCTACAGTAATCAAAATAGCATGGTATTGGCACAAAAAATATAGATAAATGGAACAAAATAGAGAGCCCAGAAATAAACCCAGACCCCTGTAGTGAATTAGTCTTTGACAAAGGGGGCAAGAATATACAATAGAGAAAAGAGTCTCTTCAGCCAGTGGTGTTGGGAACCTCACCCTAGAGGTGTTACAGCCTCATGTAAATCAGTGAAATTTGAACACTCCCTCACACCACATACAAAAATAAACTCAAAATAGTTTAAAGACCTAAATATGAGACATGATACCGTAAAACTCCGTAGAGAACATTGGCAAAACATTTCGGTGCATAAATTATAGAAATATTTTCTTAGATCGGTCACTCAAGATAAAAGAAATAAAAGCAAAAATAAACAAAAGGTACCTAATCAAACTTAAAAGCTTTTGCACAACAAAGGAAATCATCAATAAAATGAAAAGACATCTTACAGATGGGGAGAAAATATTTGCAGACAATGTGACCAATAAATGGTTAATTTGCAAAACAGACAAACACCTCATGCAACTCAATATCAAAAAGTAAATAAACAACCTAATCAAAAGATGGGCAGAAGATCTTAACATTTTTTCTTTATTTCTACAGGAAAGATCAGAAACCAAATGGTGTGCCACAAATTGGGGGATACTAGTAAACTAGTCATGGAACCTGGCTCTGCTGAATCTCTTTTGCCACAAGATGACAAGGACTCCAAAGATCCCACAATACTGATAAAACCATTGCCCCTCGCAACATCAGCCAGTGCTCCTGATGGTGAATTTCACTCAAACTCCAGCTCTCCTGGTAAGGACTCTGGGATGAACTGGTAAATGGCTCTAGCCACTAATCCCAAATTTGTATTTGAATTAGTGATAATGCGATGTTTGTTGAGGAATGCCAGCCTGGGAGTCAGAATACTTAGTAATGTATAAAACAATTATTTATAAAACGTCTTACAGTTTTCTTTACCCCCTAAGCTGGAAGAAGGAGGTTTTGCAGTGGGTGACCTCTCAAGTCTTTTCTAAGAGTGAAGTTCTGTTGTTCTAAATTTCTGAGTTATCAGTAGTTGATACAGCTATTTTGGCCTATGAGGGTATTGGTTAAAAGTCTCTGGGATCCAAGTGATAGAAACCAGTTTAAAAAGTTATTTAATTCCACAAGGGAACTCATGATAAAAAGATTCAATAAACAAGGTTTGGAAAGGTAGAAATATAGTAGAGTGTGAAGTTAGAGGTACGATGTTCACTAGGCTACCTTCGCTTCTGACACCAATTTCAGGACTGGGAGTTCCCTAAGACTAACCTTAGTTCTGATAAATTGGCTACAGGGACTCACAGAACTCGCTGAATGCCATTATCCTTAAGGCTTTGGTTTATTGCAAGGGAAAAATACAGATTAAAGTCAATCGAGGGAAGAGATTCATGATGAAGAGTCCATGAAAATTCTAAGCATGGATCTCCCTCTTGTCCTTTCCCAGTGAAGTCCTGGACAGCATGATTTTCCTGGCAATGACATGTGACAATATAAGTGGAGTGCTGCCAACCAGGGAAGCTCACCCGAGCCTCGTT